CGAAATTCATCTTATCGCAACGACTGATCACTCAACTCTTTAACGTTTAACTCTTACTCTCTTGCAACCACCGTCTTCGCCGGGCTCGACAGCGAGAGGCAAGCGGGCATCATACCTAGGCAGTATCCTACTCGGCTCGTTCACTGAATCTGGTTCAACCCTTTCCTTGATAAGTCGATTACCGGCTTAACTCGCTGGTTTCTCGCCTCGGGCAATTGTCTGTCTGACAATTTCTGGCCGTGCTTTCATGTCCGTCAGTCACTAACTGTGCATTGTGGTGCTGTCTATCTCCGTATTTTGTGTGTCTACGGAAACTTAAGTGATGCTATGATTGCCTTGTAGGAGTGGCCTCTGTATTCGTATCCCCGGTTCCGCTATGGCGTCGGTCCCCTTCTCCACTCTGATTGACCGTGTTCGTTCCGGCGTATCATCCATCGAGCTGGTGTATACGTCGCATGAAAGATGGCCGCTGCCTCGGTTATCACCCTTGCGCACTCTTCGGGTGTCAATCCTTGACTCGTCTTTCAACCCTCCCTCTCTTGCTCACCTTGCGCTCGTCAATGCACCACATATATGTCATTTGGCCAGGGAGCCCGATAGGATTCAAGTTGAGGGGGATTATGATGCAAAACTTCTTCTGTTGTCCGTGCGTAATGCTGACAAGCAGCTCAAACCGGGGGATGCAACTTACGTTCAGCGTCTTGAGATGATGGTTCTGCTCGCCAAGGATATCGTTCGAAATCGGCCCATTTGTCTTCAGGATCATTTCCAGACCTCTCATTCTGATTATGCGCAAACTGCATACGATAACGCTGCAGTCGCCATCATTGACGAGCCCACGTTCGTGGGCAAGTCGAAGGCCCTCATTCAGTTCTTACGGCAGCGTGTGTCATCCTACCTTCCGAGCTCTCCGGACATCGACCTCACTGCAGCGCCGGATATACCTTCATCTGCTAGCGTCACTCAAACGGTCAGACCACAGCTGACTTTTCTTGTGGGGATGGATACTCTTGAACGTCTCTTCGCTCCCCGCTTCTACCCCTCCGAAGAGGCTATGCTACAGGCCCTCCGTCAGTTCTTTTCCGTAGATGGGGATGATGCGCGTGTCGTTTGCGCACGGAGGGTTCTTCCTGGAATAATGCACACGCAGGACGAGAAAGGACAAGAGTTCTTGGGCATCATCCATGACTATCTGCAAAGGAATCGCGTGACCATGATTGAAATCGGGGAACATGAGAAAGAGATTAGCAGCACGCAGATCCGAAATCTGCTGGGAGGAGGAGACAACGCGTGGAGGAGGATGACCACATCCTCTGTGGCGGAGTATATCACACAGCAAGGGTTATACAGCACTACGTAGGTCTTGTCCACGAATGCGAATGTTAGAGCAATAATGATCTCCGAGCCAGAGCCGTTTGTTTGTTCAGACAATGTGAAGGCAGAAAAATGTTGCCTCATGCTAATCCCTGCCTTACGGCATAGGTCATACAACAACGCACCTAACAGGGCTGGAAGCCTTCGTAACAGGAACGTGGTGATCTCGATTGATTCTAGCGAAGTTGTGCGAGCACAGCAGAGACAGCTTGAAGAGAAATCCATGAGGAGGTGTGATAAACATAGGTATGCGAAAAATAGCACACCGTCAGCTGACTGAGCTTAGACGTGAGGATACAATGCTGTGATTTACAAGGACTCTATCTCCGACTTCTTGCCGTTGTGCGACTATGGTAATACACCATGCACGGACCATCGAAGTTCCCATCGTGAGTTAAGCAACGTCCCGAAGATATCGTGGAGGTACTGCATTCCGTAATGTCCTTGGAGTCAATGTGTTTGTTAATACAATTTTAGTATCACTTTGACGTATTCAACAAAGCATGTACGAGTGGCAGGACCAAAGCAGGATCATTATGTTATAGCCGTTCGGTACAGTGCAGTAGTAGGTTTTTGGAATATTTGATACTCTCTCGGGTGAGTTGTCAATCAAGTACCCACCCCTCACCGTAGTATTTCTGATTCTCCCCCCCATCCAATACCGTCTGAAGCTGCCCGGAATCAATCATGTCTACATATCCCACGATTTTAAAGCAGTGTCCATCTATGTTACCATCCACAGTCACATTCGGAGCCTATTAGGTATGACCGACGTTGTGATAAATAACTCATGATCTTTTTTATCCTGAAGGCTGAGCGAACGGAACCTAAGACTATCGGATCTAGCCTGCCTCAAGATGTCTCGTTTACGCTGGTATGTCGAGACCTACTTACAATTTCAACATACTCACAAGACGCCCACGCTAACGCACTTGCGTCTAAGCGAAACAAAGTGGGTCATTACAGCATTACAGTTAAATAGCGCTGAGCTCACTAGATTTGCGGCCCAGGAGCTCCTAACATGTTCAAAGTTACCAAGCATACTCCCTTACCACGGTCAGTCCTTCATGAGATCATACACATGCCACGTAGTCTAGATGGGGTGTGAAGGGTTTATCAGGGTAGTAGGAAAGTGTCGCAGGATTTTTTTGACAAGCCTTGCTAAGTAGGAGTCACCAACACTCTAATCCAAGTGTTTATTCTCGTAAACCCATTATTTCATGTACACCACACGAATGTAATCAAATTGAGTAGTCAACAACAATCATCTTGAAACCATGTCAGGTAGAATTTGCACATAGTCGCGTGCATCGCAAGTCATTCTCTTTGGGACGAATCGTGCAATACATCTCCCAAACAGCAATCCTTCTGGTGAACACACAGAGGATCTTGGGGGGATCACATATTAAAAATATGTATTTCAGGATGATTCTAGACATCCAGTGTGCCCTACTCCTCGAGTGATCACCACCCAGAGCCCATAAGCTGTTGCCCATCTAAACTATGGGCCGTCCATTGGCACATGGACAGCGCTATACACAGCCGCCTGAACTATAACCGAAGAACTTGAATTATTCAATATGAAAAGATACACGGACAGGCGAACGTCCTCTAGGGTGTGACAGACTGCCCGTTCTCGATTTCGTGTCAGCACTCGGTGCCGTTGAATCATCGCAGTCTACAACATCTCGCCCTCCATTTCTTCTCGCCCCAATCGGACGCATCTCAATGTCGTTGTCCCATGGGGAGTTCTGCGCATACATAACGGTGTCCGTATCCCAGTCAGGGTCTACTGTAGCCCCCTTTCGGAGATGGTGCATTGCATACGTGATGGGTGGCAGGTGTTCGCTCGAAGGCAAGGCGTCGCGTGTACGTACAAACGATGGTGTCTCCGAACTGAAGACAATGCCGGATGAGGTTGCTTTACGAAGGTGCAGCAAAAGGCGGGATATCAACACCGAAGTAATCCTAGGGTAAGCATTTCTTCAGTCAGCAATAAAGTATATCAATATGATAAGAAATGACAAACGGGAAGATTAGGACAGCAACGTCGGCAAGGCCCTGCACAGAGGTTGTTTTAACAAGCACAATTAGATAGATAAGAAAGAGAATTTGCGAACATTGCCTGATGTGAAAAGCGCAATATCGGTCACATTGAGAAGAACAATGGCTCTGCACAAAGGTGGATCAGTGAGCATATATCTTCAAGCATAAAACGTGGCCATACAAGAAGTATATGGTACCTAAGCGAGGGGCATTAAGATATACACCTCCGGATAAAGAGCAACACGTACCATCGCGTAGAAGCAGGTCTGGAAGCGCCGGTGTAAGCTTGAACGGACTCCCTCTGATCACGCGTTGACCGCCATTATGATAATATAGATAGTACCACGTCGCAGCCATAGCCACTCCATCGCAAGCAATTGTACATGCACGGCTGGTGGGGGCCACTGTAAAACGGGTCACTTTGGTTAATTTCCGACACTGGCGACAATGAATAGAATTCATTCACATCTGGAATATGTTGTTCAGCCACGAACGGACACATATAGTAGGAGGAAAATTTGCCTGGCTCTCAGTGTAGCAGACTCGCCACCCACAACTTCACAAGTCGGCCGAGACGAGCCGTCGGCGAGGCGGATCTTTGTTGAAGCGACAAGGAACTTCACAGGAGTGAGTCGATGCAACTGCTTAGCTAGACGGCACTGACCAAGTTGGTCCCTTCGGGCACCAGGCCCAACGATAATGTTAGTGCCGTAAGAAGCCGATTACGACTGCTAACGGCGTAAACGCGCAACGCCGAAACCGCTAGATGAGATGTTTCTGATGAGAATAAGTGAGACAGAAGTCTCAAAACATGTCCTGACCTGCGTTTATTACAATACTGATCAGCTCAAAAGCAGTGAGAAATACCGGGACAACCTGGCAGCTACGGTCTTTGTAAGATGTTGTACATAGAGTAAAGAAGGGGTATAACTGACGTCTACAAACTTGAAGATGAGCTTTGTCATTTAGTAAGGTGTGAGACAATACGTACCACTAAAGATGTCCAAGGGACCAGAAACAGCAGGTTCGTGATAGCCAGGCCCATGAGATTCAGATTATTGGCCGAGATCAATATTGTTGATATTCCCCTGTTGTGACTAAGCATTCCGATCACGGAGCTGGAGGTGAGCACCAGTTCGTAGAAAATCAAAACTACAGAACAGTCAAAAATTTGGAAGAGCTAGCATTAGAAAGACTGGAAGCGTACCAACGATCGCCGCTGCATAGTAGTTTGAGCTGATACTAGTTAGACACCAACGACAGCTCAGCGTCCACCGTCCAAACTGTAAAAATAGGCGTCGATCACGTACAAATATTGAATTACAGGATCGATATCGTAACTGGTTGTCGAGCGCGACATTATTATGGATCGTCTGATGGTTTTGGAATCAGGAACCGGCAGGCAAGAGGATCCGTTACTGCTCGGGGTGGGTGGCGGGGCTGTCGCGAGGCGTTGAACGGGTTCGGAGCACCACACATTTCGTCGACGCAGAACACCACGTATTATAAGTGCCAGAGATGGGCCAAGATAAGGGTACTTCGCCCGGCACCGGACATTATTTTCAAACGTACGTTAACGCCCTGTGTCAGTCGTTACTGGCGGAAACGTAGCATGTCTGCTGGGACAAGGCCGGGCCTGTAGCGTCAGTGCTTATCCACGAATTAGCTTATATCTCCTGCTAGTGTGGGGAAGCCGACACCTTGTCGGATATCCTGTCGAGGATTCCATGACATAAAAGCGCTGGCAGCGGAGAGAATCCACGAGCACGCGTCAGAAGACCCGAATCCGATTCCTGCAAGCTGCGGAACGCGAAGACCGATAAGGGAGGCTTCTAGGCTATCAGAACATTATATGTACTGTACGCGCATGCATGGAGTGTGTGGTCAAAGTTGGTGCTACACCGCTACTAGGACCACTCAGGCTGTGAATCACTGAATGATATGATTAGACACACTGGAGACACTCCTCCGCAACATGACCTAGAGGCTCGGAAGAGTGCACTTTCGACGATGCGTGACAGGATTGGTATGAAACTTGCACAGTTGGTCAGCTTGAAGTTTCGAAGGATCCAGTGAGTGTCACACAAAGTGCGTACCGCAAACAGTGCCAAATGAGAGTTGAAGAACACCAAGTACGTTACATAATCAAACCGTTGTTGCCACATCTGTTGGAAACTTCGATTACTTGAGACCGCGGAACCGTTGTTAGGCCAATGTGGTCCCGAAGTGCACCATTCGAGTCAGCAAAGTCAGATGGCTACGCGATGCAGGGTGCACGATAACGTTGCCATGAAACCAGGCAGTTTTAGAGTAGCAGATGAAGCCATTAGTAGTTTGAGATCAGCTCTGACTTAAGTAAAGCAGTAAAGCATATGGGTGCTTAGGCTGTTTAAAGTTTAACAAAGAGTTTCATGTCACCTAAAGCTAAAGAAAGGCCCTAGCTGTGACTCCCGATCAGTAATGATCGAGCGGAGCGCAGTCACCAGTGTCAGTTAGTATCACTGGTCAATTGCACCAAGAAACGCGTCTTGACGTTAGTCATCCCTTTTCAACGAGTGCATGTGCACGCTGGTTCTGCCTTTATTTCTGTGAAGCAGGATAGTGGACCTTGTGCGGCGACAGATAATCTATCGGCTTCCCGCGGCGTGAATTCACCATTGCGGGATGATGCCGGGATCCGCTCTAGATCGGGATCGGAGCGCTCGAGCCTCGAGGATATACTTACCAGGTATCATGTGCACGGTCACCGTGGGCAATTGACGGAGTTCGGCGGTCGAACATGCGTCGGAAACTGGCCGCGAGAGATCGCGTTTTCCTGCAATGTTTGAAGAGCGATCACTCGGCGGGCTTGACATGCAAAGAACATGGCAAGTGGTCCAATCAGCGGCTAGTGATCTGCCATGTTCGGTGTCCGAATGTGATATCTAATGTTTGAGCTCAGAAAATCGAGTGAAAAGGTCATCTCTTTTGGCGCATGTCTTGCACATGCTCGACGGTCGGACACCACGTTTTTCCATGGTGGGTGCGCCATGAGTCGTCTTCGGCCGAAATGAAGCAAGATATATTGATATTCTGTCTTAATGCAACGTTACTAAATTCGATTTGAGGACTATAATACAGCAGTACCCATCAGATCGCTGATAGAGAGAACAGAGGAACACATACGAGATGGCACTAGCTTCCTATAAGTAGTGTAGATGATACTTCTTTCAACGTTTGCTCCTGTAAGTTTCGGATAGCCGGATCTGGTAAATGTGATAAGAAGCAGCTTAATGAAATGACGATGAAGTGCAGCTTTGCAGTGATTTACTTCGTCACCAGTGACCGCGTTGATAACACGATAGCAACTCACTGCAATGATGCTGACGCTATTGCCAGTCAGTGTATGCGTGAATAGTGTGGTGCCAATTCCTCATCGGCGAAAAATTATTCAAGCAATCAGGGTGCTGTTGTTAGTAGTACATGCATGAGTCGTGATTACTGCGCGATGGTTGAATAACAACGTACGTGTCAATCCTTGGGGTTCTCGTTCCTCGCCGCATGATCCCAACGTTGGCCTGGAGGCCACGTCACTTTGCAAGAATTGACAAGCTGTGGCCAAAATAAGGCCGCTTCGCTCCCTCGGGCAGAAGCCCGGGAGCCCGACTGCCAAATAAGCGCCTCGCTCTTAGCTTGCAAGGCGATATAGGAGCAGTGGCGACCTTGCACGTAAGGTCAAGAAATCTGGAACATAATAGTATGACACTCACGCCACTTTGTTCTTAGCCCCCCTAATACGTGACAAACATATCCGGGGCCGATGGCCTCGAGCCCGATGTTAACTGAGCAGCTTGAAGCCAGCGTAGGGATAAAAGTCGACTCAAGATCGAGTCGGCTCGTAACTTACAACATCCACCGTCGCAGCCACAGCCAAATCCATGTCTTCTATAAGCTCAAAGAAACTTATACTGGTCATCGGCGCAACTGGTGCTCAAGGCATCGCGGTAATCGACAAACTCCTTGCTCCCAGCGAGGATGGCTCACCATCTCCCTACTTGGTACGGGCCCTCACCCGCGATCCTACCCATGTACGAGCGAAGAATCTTGCTTCAAAGGGTGTGGAGCTTGTCAAAGGTACCGTTCCGCTTGACACTACGCAGAGAATGTTGACTAATCTCAAACACTAGGCCGTTTCGACGACTTCAAAGCCGTCGCAGCCGCTCTACAGGGAGCCTACGGCGCATACGTGAATACTGATGGGTTCACGGTGGCAGAGGAAATTGAAGTATGGTCAGGAATCCGCATCTTCGAACTTGCCAAACAGGCTGGCGTGAAGCACTACGTCTGGAGTAACTTGGACTACTCGTTCAAGGTAAGCTTGCTAATCCGAATGTGAATTTATATCACACTCACTGCCATGATTCATGGGGCATCAACAGCTCACCGGCTACAATCCAGAATATCGCTGTTCCCACTACGACGGAAAGGGTCGCGTGGCTGATTTCATGCAGGCGCAGCCTTCCATCGTGAGCGGCAGAGATATGACTTGGTCCGTTGTTACATCTGGCCCATACATGGATATGCTACAACAAGTGAGTACGAGTAATGAGTATCTGCGAGTGTAGTGATACATACGTTTCCACGACAGGGCGTGTTCGGGCCGTTCAATCGTCGTGCGGATGGCACCTTTGTCTTCGCAGCACCCATAGGCCAGGGGCATGTCCCGATGATTGCGCTTTCCGACCTAGGATTCTTTGCCAGGTATACGTTCGACAACCGCGAGCTCACATCAGGCAAAGATCTACAGGTCGCCAGTGACCTTGTGGGATGGGATTACCTTGTGTCGACGTTCAAGAAGGTTACAGGCCTCAACGCAGTGGCCTTGTACCAGCCAATGGACGAATGGTTCGAAAACTTCTCGGGGACTGAGAAACACGTCGCAAACGAAGGCCCCGGGGGCGAGTTTGTATCATGGAAGACCAATTTCACTGCATGGTGGTCGCTGTGGCGGGATGATATTATCAAGAGGGATTGGGAGTGGATTCGAAAGGTTAATCCCAAAGGACACACGCTGGAGACGTGGATGAGGGCATATAACTATGGGGAAACCATAAATTCGGGTCCGACCCTTTTGAAGAATGTTGAGGACACAAAGTCGGTGACCATGAACAAAGAGCGCATCGTCCAGCTGTGATGCTTGGCTTGTATGTACTGCACTCACCTACGAAATCGTAAGCAAATAGTCAGCATCTTGGAATACATATTGAGTGATCACGATGAAATTACCCTGAAAGCAAGGTGTCGAATTATTTAGTCTGATGCCAGTCGACGGAAGCTCAGAAATTAAGGACTGTGATATCCTAGGTATACCTAGACATGCATGTTGAATCAGCTAAATGTCGACAAATCTAGAAAAAAACGGAAAGGAGCCTATGTGCGCGATCACTGACTCGGACGTGCGTGACTTTCATGGTTTATGAAAAGCGCACTTCTGGCCTGAGGATGGATTTAACAGGGATTCAAAACGTGAAATCCCAGATGCCAGGATAATGACACTGAAGGGTGAATTAACATATCAGAATATAAATGGGAACACGAACAGCGAAGATGCGCCTCAGAAAGACCGAGCCAGCTGTTTGTCGATCAGGTTTGGCGAACCTATTTATTCATAGGAAGAATCAATCCTTAATTTCAGTGAGGTGGCAAGGTCTACGCATATGTCAGGCGTCCCGTTGCGAGGAGTATAAAGCTTGAATAGGCACCGTCATCCAAAAATTAGCTTTATGAGACTCAAGTGAAGAATTTCCGTGAGACCGACCTGCACGACGGCACGCCTGAAGTTTCTCCGGCGCCATGCCTGTCTGCCGCTGGAGACGGTAACCTCTACTCACCGCGTTCGAGCAGCGACACCCGCCCGCCGCATTCGGGCGACATCACATTTCGCTGCGTCGGACTTCACCGTCTAAGCCTCCTGTTTGTGAGCAAGCAGTCTTCTACCCATCATCAAACAGGTGTTGTCCCTGCTCTCACTCCGATCGCCATCTTATGCTCGTATCAGTCTAGAGCCTCTTTTTGTCCACCCACCACCTGCCCTAGTACATTTAAGCTACTGATTCCTCCCGTTGAGCTTGCCTAACATATCTTCGCGCAGCCTATGGGACGATACAAGCGCGAATCAAGCAGGTTGGACCCAGCCAAATGTCCAGCGCTTCAAGGTCAGCGCCGATAGAAGCCGTGCGGTCTTCGCATATATAGCCTCCGAACCGGCAAATGAGTCAATATGCAATCCTTGACGTGGTCAGGAGGAGAAGATTACTCAGCTTCCAGAATTCAAGCTCAGAGAAAGCGATATTGAAGCTCAAAAGGAGACAATAGTCTTAAAAGAAGCTTTGTTCAGAGAATGAAGCCAGCTCTGGCATACCATGACCAGCAAATCCATTACACGTCGATTAGTAGAGTAGCTAGATAAAGGTCAAAACAACTACGCACCACATGTTATTGGTAGCATTGCTGATGTCCGATTCGTCCGGACATCCCCTCGGCCATGCACCACTTCCCCGATCCATACAAGTTCTTATAAAATAACAGCTTCATCTGCGAGTACTGGCAACCCGAAAAACATGTCTGTCGAACATAACACGAAAAAAATCATCTTGGTAATCGGTGCCACTGGTGCTCAGGGTGTCGCTGTCATAGACGCACTCCTCGCTCTCAGCAAAGACGGCTCAGAATCCCCCTATGCTATACGGGCTCTAACGCGTGATCCTGAACATGCTCGTGCAAAGGAGTTGGAATCAAAAGGTGTCGAGATTGCCAAAGGTGATTATCGCTTCAGCGAAATAGACCTGTCGAGGAACTGATGATGCGTACAACTAGGGCGATTCGATGATTTCAAAGCCGTCGCGGCTGCCCTAAAGGGGGTGTATGGTGCGTTCGTGAACACGGACGGTTTCACCGTCTCCGAGGAGAAAGAAGTCTGGTCTGGTATCCGTATTTTCGAGTTGGCGAAGCAGGCTGGTGTTAAACATTACGTTTGGAGTAATCTGGAGTACGTGTCAAAGGTCAGTATGTGAAAGCACATTCTATGAATTTGCTAATCAGGACACCTCGCTCGATGCAGACCACCAACTATAATCCAACATACAGATGTGTTCACCACGACGGAAAGGGTCGCGTAGGCGATTTCATGCAGGCCCAGCCATCCATTGTAAGCGACACTGGGATGACGTGGTCCTTGGTGACGTCTAGTCCGTACATGGACATGCTCAACGCCGTGAGTCGCCTGTTTGGCCCACAAAGCAGTGTATACTCACAGGATGTTTACGCCCCAGATGATGTATGGGCCGATCAAACGTCGTGACGACGGGACCATCGTGTTTGCAACTCCCATAGCAAAGGGACATGTCCCCATGATTGCACTCTCTGACTTCGGCTTCTTCGCGAGGTACACATTTGATAATCGCGAGCTCACCTCGCGCATGAATCTGGACATCGCTAGCGACTGGGTAGGGTGGGATTATTTGGTGGAGACATTCACGAAGGTGACCGGGCAGAAAGCCGAGGTCGTCTACCAGTCCTTGGATGAATGGTTCAGCAACTTCGACGGAGTCGACAGACCACTTTCTAATGAAGGCCCCGGGGCTGAATTAGTAACGTGGAGAAGTAACTTCAGTGCCTGGTGGTCTATGTGGAGAGACGATGTAATCAAGAAGGACTGGGAATGGATCCGCAAGGTAAATCCGAAGGGACATACGCTAGAGTCGTGGATGAGAGAAAACCACTATGGTGAGCAACTGTGGAAAGGTTCGATTTTGTTGAAGAACGTGGAAGATGGCTCGCGTATCGTTCCGAATCTGGAGCGCATCAATGCGTTATAGTCGCTGTTAGTATACCATGAGTAGGGAGTTGTGGAATACTATGCATTGTATGTCTTGAATGCAGATGACATGCCATAAGTATCCTTCATCCCGAATTATTACGAATATATCGATTTCAAATTACAACAGGCAATACGACCCCAAAGAAAATTGACACGGATTCAGAAGCGTCATACTGTATACGTGAAGTTCGTCAATAGCGTGAATTGAAGAGCTAGGAAGAATTGGATACAATATCTGAATAGCATTTAGCATGGCAACTAGAAAGCAGCCTCTTGTTAGACAGAGACCCTCCGCCACTCCAAAATTCACTCATTGGGTGCCCACAGTGAGACGACCGGTATGATGGGGTCAGACCTTGCGCACCGCCAAATTACATCACAAAGGTGCAGCGGCAGATCCAGAAGTCTTAGAATCATATGTACTGATCGCTAGCCAAAGAGTTTCGACGGTAACTCGCTCGACCGACAGGCTCGTTTACGGAAGACTCGGCAAGTGCCATTGCTCGGGTATGGAACCACGTGGCCGAACACATCCGAGACACTCGGTCATGGCGCCGAATTGAAATTATACATTACTACATGCCTAGTATATGCATCTGAGTTCGGTCTGCCGTTCATGAAGACCTAGAAAGTACTTCATAATATGGGCCGAAGAATTTTGGCACAAGATCTTACGTTAGCTGGTACCCCTTGGAAACCACTCACAGCCTGTTCAACGCCCAGGCTCATGACAGTCAGCAGACTTCGACGATTCATGAATAACAGTGGAGCTCTGGAATCTTGGAACCCTGTTACTTATAAATCCCGAATAGATCGGCAAGCCAATGCGTCTAATGCATGATATAATGGTAAACCTTAGCGCTGCACCCGCTGTGCGACATACACAGAGCCTGGGCCCATCAGACAATGTCATGTACTCATCGCTCCATTGAGCTGTCATACAGTCACAGACTCTTAGCGATTGTTCAGCGGCTTATAAAAGCCCGAAGACCGACGTTCATGCCCGACAACAGAACGTACAAAGGGGAGCTGGGATCCCCCCAACCCTATCCAAATCTAAGTGTCAGACATGTCGACAATCACTGGAAACTCGAAAAAACTCATCTTAATTATTGGAGCGACCGGTGCGCAGGGAATTGCGGTGATTAACAAACTTCTTGCTCCCGGAGAGGATGGTTCGCCATCTCCCTATTCCGTGCGAGCTCTTACCCGAAACCCTGAACATGCCCGCGCGAAGGATTTAGCCTCGAGGGGCGTCGAGATTGCTCAAGGTGCGTACCTACTACTTGGTATTTTTGTATCCGCCTTGCGGCTCATCCGTGAAATTCTAGGCCGATTTGACGACTTCAAAGCCGTTGCAGCCGCCTTACAGGGCGTCTACGGGGCATTTGTTAACACTGATAGCTTCACTGTCTCTGAGGAGAAAGAGGTATGGTCCGGAATACGCATTTTTGAGCTGGCCAAACAGGCTGGTGTCAAACATTACGTCTGGAGTAGTCTTGAATATGTGTCGAAGGTTAGCAAGCGAACGGTTCCAAATGTTTGCACTGATTCATGTCTTATTCCTCCGGCGTTGACACAGCTCACCAACTATAATCCGGAATACCGCTGCTTGCACTACGATGGGAAAGGCCGTGTAGCAGACTTCATGCAGGCTCAACCTTCAGTCGTGAGCGACTCAGGCATGACATGGTCCACAATTACATCGGGCCCATACATGGATATGCTGAACATCGTGAGTACTTTCCACAGAATTTGGGATGTCGCGTTGAATTGACGTACCAACCAGTACACGTTCGGACCGATCAAACGCCGCGCGGACGGCACCTTTGTATTCGCAACACCTGTGGGGAAAGGGCATGTCCCCATGATCGCACTCTCCGACTTCGGCCACTTCGCCAGATATACATTCGATAATCGCGCACTCACTTCAGGCAAGGATCTGAAAATCGGGAGCGACTGGGTTGGATGGGACTATCTGGTGTCGACGTTTATCAAGGTAACAGGCCAGAAGGCAGAAGTTGTAAACCAATCCTTGGACGATTGGTTCGACAACTATGAGGGTGTTGATCAACCCGTCTCCAACGAAGGCACGGGTGCTGAACACGTCTCGTGGAAGACGAACTTCACCGGATGGTGGTCCATGTATAGGGATGATGTGATCAAGCGAGATTGGGAATGGATTCGCAAGGTCAACCCGAACGGCTACACACTCGAGACTTGGATGCGAGCCAATAATTACGGAGAAGGCTCGGGCCAAATGCTCCTGAAGAATATCGAGGACGGTCATCGAGTGACGTTAAACCAAGCTCGCATCGCGCAGTTGTGACCACTGTAATTACTTGCGTGAAATTGAATGTATAGTTGTTCCGGTCATTGCTAGGGATTTTCTCGAACGAAAATATCGATCATGAACGGTCTACGAATGCAAGGCCTCAGTTAGTATTGTCTCTTTCTGCAGCTGACTTATGCGTTTAAGGCCATCCTAAGGTTTCTGCGCGGAGTGCATGTCACCTGCGTGCGTGGTAAAGGCGACCATAGAGATACAGATCACTACGCTGTCGGCCATGGTATCTGTTCAATGCATCTGTGCATATTGTACGAACTATCTACTCACCAAAATAAAACAAGCGGCCTAACGGCAGCGGCCCCTCCCTTCGCGGGATGAACTGATGAGAGAATATTCTAGCTTGGCGAGCACACTGGGTGCCAGTCATATTGTTAGCAGCCCTTACGCTGCTAGACAGATATCAATATACGTAGCCGTTGTTCCTCTTGAAGGATATCGTGACCGCGATGAAGAATTCGAATTTGTTCCGAGTGCCCCGTCTCGATACGATGACGGTCGATACGCTTTCAAATTTCAGGAATAAAGCGGCTGACAGTTGGCGCTGAGATGCTACTTTCCCCTCAGCGTGTTGACAAATATTGGATGAGAAGCTTCAGGAAGCCTAACGTCGCCGATGCCCTATGCGTAACGGTCGTGATTTGAGATCTCATGTTGATTTGAAACGAGCGAGTCGAGGATCAATTTCATCCGGGTATCCATGCATAATACACATTACGATAACAGTCATGTCTACCCATGACTGCCAAATATCGAGGAAGGAGTGAGGTCGTTCAGGGCGAAATGTAAACAGGATAAGTTTAGTGGAATAGCGTGCGGGATATGCAGCATGCGGCGAGCTGAGAGAGAGACCATGAGTAAGTGACACAAGCACACATCGAGGGTAACGAGCACGAGAGAAAATAAGATGGGGAACTATATCACTAAAAGACAAATTAATCCATCCTGATCCATCCAACGAAACGGGAGAAATGCAAAGAAGAAGTGTGGATAAGAAGTAGCTTAAGCTGCTGATAGATGCAGGTCGACCCGGACTGCGTGAGCTAGGCTTGCGAGTAACTGGGGGAGGTTGAGGTTGAGCGAATGAACCCTAAGGCACCAAGGTTGATTGTATGCTGAGGGTAAACACTCAGTAATCAAGGAATGCCATTTCGCTCAATCGACGACTCTCCGCATCCTCAATCCGGGTGGCCTCAACCAGGATGCTGCCGCGATTATGCATCGTCGGACTGAGCGCCTGGCGCGGACGCAAACCTTGGCCAACAGTGGACTTGCGCGGAGCTATAGAATCCACAGGTGATATGGCCTCTTGCGAAACCCGGACCCGCAGAGCAGGTGGGAAAGACGTCGGCGGCACTGAGGTGGGGTACGGAGATGTCGGAGACGCAGCGTACGAAGGGGATGTGGGGGAGATGGGTAATGGGGGGACGGCTGAGGGATTGACAGAAGGATTGGGACGAGTGACACGGAGAGTAGTGAGCGTGCTTGTGATACTGCGTCGCAGGTTCTGCATCGAGCTCATTGGGCGTGGATTCTTGAACGGTGGCGGGGCAGGCTAAGAACAACAAATCAGGATCAGAAAATACCTACGCGTAGAAAAAATTACGCACTGTATCCTCCGAAACGACAGATTTCCGCGAGAACACGCCAAGCGTCATGGACCGCCTTCTGTTCGTGTCTCGGCTCTTCCTCCGGCCTCGCGGGTGTACATCCCCCTCCGCCGCAGCCATCAACTCGCGCATTTTCTGCGCCTCGTCATGCATGCGGGCGGGATCAGCACTAACAGGTGTCTCCCAATCCGACGAAGAATCGTCTGCAATAGGGCTCTCGACGATCACCTTACATCCTGCGTCATCTTCCTCGCCATCGCCCATACTCCCACCACGTCCCCTAGTCTCTTCACCTCCAGCCACTTTCACCCCCCCAGTATGGTGCGCAGCGTGCCCCATTGGCCGACGTGTCCTACTACGCGCGCGTGCATTATTTTTGGCATCATACGGTGTCGTCGGTGTTGGGGGTACACCTTCAGACGGTGCAGAAGACGATGCAGTGCGCGTTGGAGACAGTGCAGGAAGCTTCGACGAGCGGCCCCTCGCATCGGTAGAACGCCTGCTCTCAGGCGCGGGTGGACGCGCGGGCGCAGCGGTCAGGCCTAGTGCGTTCTGCGGGTGCCAAGGGTACGTGAACTGATGCCACGGAGACGGCGGTGCTGGTGATTGACTCGGCGCCTGTGGAGGCGCGGGCGACTGCGTGAACAAGTGTGACCGCGGTGGCGACGTTGACGATGCCTGCGACTGAGCAACGCTCGTCGAGCGCCCACGCCCTACGGGGGGCGCCTTTGCGCCGTGCGCGTGCTCGCTGTCGGTGAGGTCGGGCGACATGCGGGAGGTAATGGAGTCAGTTGGAAGTGACACAGCGATTGCGACCGCAGGAGCAGATGACGAGCTTGAGCTTGAGGCGCGCGGGCTGGCCACGGGCGACGTTTGTCTCTCCTTGCCATCTATCGGTGGCGGGGTATACGCCGATGGTGGTGGTGGTAGTTTCCGCTGAGGTGGAGGTCGACGTGTCTTCGCTGGGACTGGTGGGGGGGCAGGCTCGTCAGGTGAGGTCGTACTGGCAGACGGGTCAGCAGGTACACCGTCGACACTTGCTTCGCTTCGCCGCCGCGCGACATTCTCATTGCGCTCGCCGGGCCGTGTCACCACAGTCACACTGGGGCGTGCCCTGTCAGACGACTTGCGAGAGAAGAATCCTGTACTCTCTCCTTCTGCTTTGAAAGATGTCTGCGTGGGCGAAGAGGCTGAGCGCGGCAACGCAGAGTGTAGCCATCGCGAGACTCGCTCAGAAACGTCGCTCGAGCGGCGTGGCTTGGCAGGGAGCCTTCTCTGCGGAGGAGAGGAAGGAGCATGTTCGGTAACGAATGCGTCCATCGAGCTCCTTGCAAGTTGCTCCGTCGAGGGCGACATCTGTGTGGCCCCCACGAGTCTGTTATAGTCCTGCGCGGTCGTATTCACCACAAGCGAGCTGGCGTCCATGGTAGTCGCCCGTTCGGACTTCTCTTCGGGACAGGCCAAGTGGTCGTCGCCCGACTGCACAATACGCATCTCCGTCGCATTCGGCGCCTCTACCCCCTTCGTGATCGGGCCCTCGTATACCCTATCAACAGGCACGTTCCCCTCGCGATTCTTCGCGAGCCAGGCCTCCTTGATCCGCTGTGCTGCTGAATCACCGTCCTCACCCTCACCGTCCCGGCTCCCTCGTGGTTCACCCAAAACGATAGCAAAATGTCGATCGAGCTCTGCTTCCTGCTCACTTAAGGAAAGCATATAACCCTGTGCATCACGGTAACGCGGAGTGTATGGCGAAGGTGGGAGGAGTCCTCGTGCGCGGAGTGCGGCTTGTCGTTGCTCAGCGGAGGTGAACGAGCCTGGAAGTGGACCAGGAATAGGGGCGCGAGGGAGTGCTAGATAAAGCGCCGGCTTGCGCTTTGTGGGAGGCGGGAGAGGAGACGGTGGTTGTGGGGCATCGGCATCGAATGGAGTGCTCGCGCGCGTGTGATCTCGACTGGGGCTACGACTGGGACTACGACTCCTATCTCGCTGCGTCTTACCGGAAGGCGATAATGCGGAAGTAGTGTTAATGTTGAGCGTACTGGCTGGAAACTGGGACGTAGTAGGCGAACGCAGCTTGGACGTGATACGCTGGAAAAGGCCTGAAGTCGGTCGAATCTGGGAAGCGAGAGTGGGGAGGGGAGGAAGGTCGTCATCCTTCGATCTACGACTGGTTGACGGAAAGTTGCCTAACGAAGAGCGACCGTAATGCACCTGTGATGAATAGTCGGATGGTGACCTGGAAATAGACGTAGACATAAGCATTCCCGTCCTGGATCGTCGTGTATATGGGTGATGGTGGGGGAAAGGAGAAAGACAGTCGTCACATTCACGGACGATGGGCCATGTGATCAGGAAATATGTCGGGAGGCAAAGAAGGACGGCTGAGAAAGATGGCTGCAATAGGAACTGATGGCATGATTCCAATGAATAGAGGGATGTACAGCAAGCGCAAGGGGGGACGAACGTCTACCCCGGGAATCGAAGCGCGAGGGAGACCATGCGGCGCCAAGAGATGGAGGCTATTATAAAGTGGACTCACCCTGAATGATCATGGGCGACGTCGAGCGTGAGTGCGCTGCTGGGACAGACGTGGGTACTGGTCTCACATCCACTTGCACTCTCTGGCGCTACCTCGATCACGATCGGAGGCTGCTGTGTTTCGCTCCGACTGACAAAGTCGTCGCCCTCGTCGCATTGCACGTCGTCAATGTCGTCGACCGCCAGTGTGCGCTCTAGATTTGCTCGAACGGCCACAGGCTTGAGGGGCGTCCCTGGTTGCCGAACATGATCTTGCGCGGTGATCGCCATGGCAAAGCAAGCGGCCAGGATACAGGGGAATCAGCAAAGCCAGTGTACCAGAGTATTTGGAATATGCTCGAGACCCAGGTCTGTTGGGTTATTAAGCCTCTTGTGCGGTCGTCGTTCTGAATGTTCAAGCACTGATCCTCGTTGTCAGTCAAAATACCAGGCTGCACGCACCCACGCCTGAGCATGCGCGCTGTTGCCTTCCTGACAAATGACAAGCTTCTCTGGCCTGAAGAGATGAAATTCGTGACCGGAACGTGTCCACGTCGACAACCACGGTACAAGCTGGCCGTCCCAAGGAGAGGCGGAGCAGGGGGGGGGGAAAGAGGGGCGCCGGTGCGCCTGAGAAGCATGATTATATACCGTCGGGACGAGCACGTCTAGACAGACAAGCGAGCCTGACCGGGTCCAGCTGAGCTTCGTCTCCAGACAGCGCGCATGCTCTTTTCCCCGCATCATGATCGTCCGTACGATGCTAGCGCCCTCCTTTCCGGGGTCCTCACTCGTTCACATGGTCACAGTGTGTCACGCCTCTCCTCCCTGGCCGTCGGGCTTTGCCTGTCACCACTTTGTCACGCGGACCCCACCTCCATTCCCATACCCTCGCTAGAGCAGTACTACTGATGCTCCGCGCACAACTTCCTGTGCTGCAACGCCCTCTTCTGCACCCAAGAAAAGCCCACACGCCCGGCAATGCGGCCGCCGTCCCTCTGAACCCGCCGCCGGCGCAGTCCCTAGACCTCCCGCCCCCCTCCGTCGTTCTTTTTCCGGATCCGGCATCATTTGCCTGGTGTTCCGGATACGCGTGCTCCAGCCGACGCCTTCTAGCACGCCCATGCGCGCCGACCGCACTGATTTGTCGCTCCCCGTTGGACGCATGTCGTGCCGGGGAAACTGGAACATATCGCAAACGTATCTCGCTGCATCTCTCGATTTAACGGTAGCTGACCAAGGTACACATCAGAGTGGCATCCATCCTTTTTTTTGTCGGTGCCCTATTCGACAGTCGGGCACCGTTCGGCGCCATGGTCTGGTATGTCCTCGCCAGAGTAGCTTCAGCCACAACCCGGCTGCAACCTAGCGCGCTGATAGCTGTAAAACCAAATTGCGGCGCGCAGTTTAGAATCATACCCTGACGATCCCAGCGTACACCGGCTCCACATTACTGATCGCTACCGATTTGCGACTTTAATAATTTTATAGCTGGCACGGCTCATCGAAACTGTTTGCGCCACGACGAAAAAATGATCTAGTACAAGCAAGCTTGATGCCGTGGGCTCATTTTCCTCGATGTCCTGACTTGGGGCTCAGCGGCATATATGGCAAGACCCCATCTGTGTCTTGACATCTGGTGGCGGTCCTGTCTCATCTTGCATGTGTAGCATCATGATCCCGAGTGTCCAGCATGATCCAGATTGATGACGAGAGTAAGATGAGTTCAAGTCCCCAAACTGAGATTCCTCTTTTTCTGGGCATCTGCGCGTCCCACCTCTGTCGCTGAGTCTCTTGACGTCAACATTGAATCATCTGCCAACTTCCCCGCATATGTTGTGGCGTGTTAGCGAAGTGCGGTGATACAAAAGAAACAAACCTTCCCTGTAGTGCGGCGGCTCCCTGTGGGTAATAAAGGGCCGGATTTGCGCTATTATTATTTGGATGTAACGACCTCGCAATACGCATAGTTTACCCTTGGATACCCCAACGTTTCAGCTCAAAATACACTCAAACATTCAGAGCATACAGATTATTTCCAGGGACTACAGTAGTACGCGTGACCGGATCCTGATGTCTGCTGTGAGTCTGATCAGAAATCTTTGATACAAATGCTGCACAGAAGCCACTGGCACTGGACCTTCACTAGGACTAATGGATGATTCAGACGCCCGTGACTCCACTCAGTCAACGGGAGAAAGCAGTACTAAACGGTGTCCTTGGGAGAAGAAGCGGGCAAGGAATACAGCTAGAACTGCATTGGTATTGCATGAGTCAAATGTCATCAACATCGACATGAAGCGCGGGGAAGAGGAAGACGGGCTTACACGAATGGTCTAGACCTTCAAGCGTTCAAGGTCCCAGGTCCCTGTGTTGTGACCGCTCTAGCTCTGATCCAACTCTTTAGGCCCTGAGGTACCTGTTCCTTGGTATACCCTTGACAGTCGCTTCATTGAGCCGGCCTAAATTGACACTCGGGATTCTTGGCCGAAGGCACCAGCATGCTGTATCCCAGCGAGTTGACTCGCATATGCGACCAAATGAATCTGAAAAATGTGCTATGTGAACTTCGCCAGCTGCCCAAGGATGTCACGGTATTAGGGTCAGACCACTTCTATAACTCCAACGAACAGAGGGCGGCTATATGTTAGATCCGTGGCCACAGGACAATGCACGGATAATTGTTCTTGCGTACATTATGCTGTCCAGGATCCAGCAAGTCCACGCTCACAACTGACAGGTAGAGTTAGTTAAAACTATGGGCCGCTAAGAGGACACCTCGAGCAAAGGTTCGTTATGCGCGGTGGTGCAGATACGTGAACTGGACAAGAGCTAAGCCTAGGAAATCGATCCAAGTGCTCGGATGTGAGAACAAGACTAAGTGCAGCCGCATTGCTATGGGGCATTCAGGAGATGCCCGAAGATTGTTGAAGCCAGACAGCTCCATGTGATAGAAATGTAGGTCGACGTACGGAGGTTTTTAGCTTCGCTGACGTGTGGGAGCTCGCGGCATTGAGTGCTGCTTATTCCCCCGGTGCCCACCTGGTGTCCCAATCGTTGGGTTGGCCGATAACAGTGTCCTTTCGTGCGGTTTCGTCACACGCGCACGGAAGAGCGTGGTGTAAACCCTCGCGGTCCTCGCTCGAATGCACGCAAACTTGCCCCGGCGGCGGAATAACAGACTCACATCGCGGGCAGGCACCCGATCGGATATCGGAGGGACAAGAAGTCTTCGAGGCACAAACTCAGTGCTCTAGATTTGAGTTCAGCATAATATCGGCATTATATGCAGGCCAGTGACGACAAAGTTCGAATAAGAACAGCTCACTACCGGGTGTGCTCACAAATTACAACTCGCCTCCCTGATATGTCCGCCACGTGGCCCGGTCCTTCCATGTCGGGCACCTCTCGGTCTTGCTGTCATCGTTCCCGACCTCTTCTCGTTGCTCATTCTCGCTGTCGGTTCCATGGATACCTGTCTTTGGCTGGTAGAGAAACATCGCACTTTTATCTGAAGCTTGGGTAACGGGTCGGAGAGGTTTTTTTAGAGTCGGACACTCGTCGTATAATCGGAAAGCCAGAGCTCCTGTAAGCTTTCTAAGTTTCTGCATCACTGCCAGGCTCTCATGCCGACTTTTGCGCAGAATCAGACCATAGACGGCTCGTTCTAGAAGTCCCCACGCGATATTTTACGCTATGTATTGTCGTATGCTACGACCACGCGCTCCGCGCCCGACCTCACTCATTTTCGCCCTCGCCCCAGCGTCCGTCATTCGCCCTCTCGCAGGACGACACTACCAAACGTCTGGGACGCAGAAGCAAGTCGTGGCAGACGCACCGCATCTAGACGTGCTCGATACGAAGTCGCGTCCGTTCGCAATAGAACGCGTCGGAGGCAGGGAGTGTCATGTCTCGTGGACGGAGAGCGGTATCACGAAAGAGTGGCATGAGATGTCGGGAGCACTGCAGGAGCGGGGGGAGGAACAGACTACCTCGACGACCAACTCAATTGTGGGCAAGTTTACGTCGTGGCTGCGCCAGATGTTCCTGCCGACCAACTACCCGCAGTCTGTACACCCTTCGTGAGTCTTTAGCTTGTATAGCCGCTCTGTATGAAGCTCAGTCTTGCAATCACTGTTTTCTTGCCATGATATATTGATATTATTAGGTATTTGCGCTTCCACGCCCTGCAGTTCTTTGAAACGACGTTCGGGACGGTCGTTTCAGTGCTCTGCAATCAAGCGCTGCTAACGTCCGTCGGCGTCAGTGCGGAGGGCAGTATCTTCGGTGCAGTAGCTGTACAGTGGATCATCAAGGATGGTGCGGGCGAAGTAGCCAAGCTGTTCTTCATACGCAGGTTTTCGCCGTACTTTGACAGCCATCCCAAGTCGTTCACCCTTTTTGGGGAGGGGATCGTGGCTATTGGAAGCTGCCTCCAGATGGCAACGCTGCTCATCACCCCGACACCTGGAAATTTCTTGCTGTGTGCAGGTATTTAAGACGAGTTTGTTACATGTTATTTTCTGATCTTGACTGGCTCGTTCTCCAGCTGGAGGAAACATCTTCAAACTTGTTGGATACGCGGTAATTACATCAAGTACGCCTCCTGCACCCAATTTGATCACATTGATTCCTAGGTTTGGTTTACGACGCATATCAAATGGGTTCGCTACTTCTCTCTTCAAGGGAATGTAGGCGATGTCGCGGCAAAGGACGAATCGCAAACATCAATCGCACAGCTGTGTGGCTATGCAGCTGGTATTGGGCTTTTAACTGTCTCCCATTCTCCCGCCTATCTCTACTCCTTGTTTTTTGCTCTCACTCCCCTCCATCTGACTGCGACGATGTTTATGATGCGCGATGCGAAATTCGAGGCGCTTACGCTACCCAGGCTCAGTCTGCTGGCGCGCGAGTACGCGCGAGAGGACGGAGAGGCAGCAACGGGCAAGGTGAACACCTTGAGGGAGATAGAGGAATCGAGGCAGACGGGAGCGTTTGGTGAGTTCTTCAAGAGGAAGAATGACCGATTCGTGGAACTTGCGCCTAGGGTGACGGAGGTCATCGGGGGCGATGTTGATCGAGAACCGGTTCTGTGGGAGATGTGTACGAGCGAATTCCAGGTCCGTTGTCCTTTGCATGGCAATTTAATTAGCTGATTTGTCCAATGTTATAGACCGAGAAATACCTGCTGTATCCTTCTGCATCCCCTTCCGAAAAGCCAATAACGGTCTTTTATCACCCGGATGCCACCTCCGATGACACGCTTCGGTCAATCCTGCATGCTGCCCGCTTTCGCCACGATCTTTTAGAGTCGCGACTTTCGTCGTTAGATTCTCCATGGAGTTCTAGAACAGGGGAGCTGCAGGTTGCGCTAGCTAGCTCCCATGCGTGGACCCGCCAACATTTCGGTGCTTTCAAGCAGGAATTGGACGATAAGGGCTGGAGAACGGATGAGGTAGGCTTTGCCGACCGCGGACATAGACTTCTGTGGGGACGCGAGGCAGATCGCGAGTCATAGGTGATGCAACTTGCTCGAGGAGATATTAGCTGTCTGTGCTACAATCAGCGCGCCCTTCCGCCCTCAGACATTTTTCGACGGCATTTGCGCTTTTTGGATGCCAGTACTTCCGCGGAGGCAATTTGGCCAGTAGACTTGAGGTCTTGCCCATCGACATGCTGTCGCAGCAACAAATAATGTTGCAGATACTGTTACGTAGTCCGGGTGCGGCATGGATCTCTCCCTCGCATGATTGTTAGAACATATCTGGCAGATTATTTAGATGGGATATATAGACTACCGTAGCTTCTAGTTGTAATCATATCTCCCCCCTCAACCATTCCCTGGAATATTCTTGTCAAATGCTATACAGGGAGTATAAAGATCTCGATCCTTGGCTTTGACTCGATCCTACGAACAAATCTGACGCCGATGCCGACTTACCCGTAATTTTTGCTTGTGACTTGCCGCTCAGTGCACGTCCTCGTCTGCTCCGTCATCTTGACATCTGTACCTACAGAAAAGCTCCCGAGCTGGAAGGGTTATGCAAATTCTCCTGCGACGATTGTACAATGGCGGGTTCAACCACCTCAAGCGTGCTTCCTCTCTGTTGTACAGAGCACCTACCCTTGTCGTCAGTGCGCCTCACACTGCGCGATTGTGCGCAACAAAGACACCAGATACCAATGTCTGTCCTCCCTTACTGTCATGTGTTCGATCTGTTTCCGCATATGAACGAATCATCTGACGAAGTTCTGCACAAATCGAGCCTGTGAGGAACCCGTCTATTGTCGTCACCCTTGTGCCAAGTTGATTCGTCACTTCTCATCATCCTCCACGTATCTCACGTCTTCGACCGACCCTGCTGACTGGCATGTCTTATTCTCGCAGGCAGAGTCTCCGTCGTCCGAAGATCTCGTCTCGCCCTCCGTGAACACAGCCGAGACCTACTGGCGGCCTATCACTCCTAATATGTCTGCTCATCTTGAGTTCTCAAAGTCCAACGAGTCATATGTTGCCGACTATGGCGACAAAGGCTCGCTGGCCATACCTCCGGCCAAGAAGCTCGCGATAGGTAAGCTCGATACATGTAATATTCTCAGAAGGCTAAGATGCTCACAAGTCATGCAGTGACCTGCATGGACGCTCGCTTGAAGTCAGACAGCTTTACAACCTTTCTGATTCGTCGCTGATCCTACACTGTAGTCCCTTCGCTCAATTAGGCCTTAAAGAGGGCGACGCGCACATTATTCGCAATGCTGGTGGGGTCGCGTGAGTACCGGTGCTAATATTTCCATCAACGATGCATATTCATATATTTTATCAGTAAAGATGCCCTTCGTAGCATCATCATATCGCAGCGTTTGCTTGGCACGCGCGAAATTGCGGTCTTTCACCACACGGGCTGCGGGATGCTCCTATTCACGACTCCCCAGCTACAATCTATCGTTACAGAATCCGATCCCGCGGACACCGCATTGAAAGCCGTCAATGAGATCAATTTCCTAGAGTTCAGTGACCTCGACCAGAGTGTCCGAGATGACGTCAAATTCTTGAAGGAAAATCCTCTCATACTTCCAGAGACGAAGGTCACTGGATGGGTGTTCGAGGTCGAGACGGGAAAGGTACGTACATCTATGACGAATCAAAATTATATTGAATACGCCAAACACCTCTGCAGGTCCGTCAAATTGCTTGATTGCGAGATGCCGAGGCGTTACTCCGGGACAGGCCCGAGCGTTTAGGTACGCGGACGCTAGCGTTGTTGAATCATTTGGATGACATCCCCAAGGCTAAGAGCGAGTTGGGGAAATACGTGTACTTACCAATCGCAAGGCTGATGAATGCACCCCAGCACCACCATATTTCTCTGCAATCTATACCTGTGGGGCATACAGCAATCAGGCTTGTGGGGAAACCGCCGTGGACCTCGGTGTCCCCTACGTGTGCTGACTCAAACATAAATTTCGCATTATCGCCAATTAGTGAGATGATCGAGTTCTAAGTCGAGCGGTATGTATCTTACGTGAAGACAAGTCTTGGAACATCACCTAAGTTACATGGTCGCGTATGATTCCTTGTGAATAATGATGCCAGGCGATTGAAGGGTCTCGAGGATGTCGCGAGGCATGGATTCTGATCGCGAAATAGATAATGACATGCATGCGAGGCTTCTAAAACACAATATGAGCCGGCTAGGAGGGCATGCATAGGGCGCACAGGGACGTAACGCGCCCTGTCGAGGTCGAGTTTCGGTGGGGCTGAATCCTGATGTCTCATACTCTGAGGTCTATCAGAGTGACGAGCTCATTCATAAGCCAAAGGCCAAAGTAATGCTTTCGAGTCAACGTAGGCCCATTGCAGAAGCAAACATTGTGATTTTATGCAAGTTACACGCAGCAGACATGAGGCTTCGAAGTTATCGATGGGGTCGCCTGGGGTCGCGACACGGCAGCAACCACAGACGCCCCAGACGCAACTGCCTTTCTGGATAGAACGGGGGCGAATAGACGCCCGCGACTTTCTTTGGGGAGTGGGGCCAGTTTTATAAAACCATCCTGTTTGCTGGCGTGTCCTTCCTACATCGACGCCTCTGTCTTCACTCCGAGGACGACTCCGACGATGTCTCCTTCTACGAGTGTGCCTACCAGCGGCACGCGTCCTTTGCTTGTTCAGTCGGGCCCCATTAGAGTGAGTACATATGCCTTCCGTTGCATCTATTGCGTTGGTGCTCTGTTCGGTCGTCAGACCCACTATATGCACTTCGTTGCTGCATTTTTGAAACCGATTATATGCGGCCGACTTTTTTTCACTCATTGACCTCACACATACTGCTATGCAATTGCTAACATGCATTGTATGCGTAGGTCTCCATACCCATTTCATCCGAATGTAGCGAGTGGACCGCTGCCGAGATCCTTCGCGACGAGTTCGCATCAAGAACATTTGCAGAGGCGCAGTATGATAATGAAAAAGAGGCGACTATAGAACTTTTCGCCCGTTTCCTTGGCTTCGTTGCCCAAAACGTAGATGCGGGCGTAGCCCCCACCACTATTTTACTCAAGACTCTAGAGCATTTTGTCAACTCGTATCTGTTGCAAAAAGATGTGCACACCATCGCCGCTGCGTTCGATGTCGACGTGCGAAAGTCCGTAATCTCAAATTACATACAAGCCGTCGCTGTCCTAGAGGCCAAGCAGGTTTCCCCCATACCCCGCTCCCCTTCCCCAGCACTTTTCAGAGCAGATGACGCGTCTACATACGCGATTTTCGGCGGCCAAGGCACAAATGAAGTATACTTCGACGAGCTGCAGAACCTCTACGACACCTACAAGCCGTATCTCGCTTCCTTCATTTCCGAAATAACACAGCACGTCTTGCTTCCCCTTGCAGTAGACCATGCATCGTCGACATACTATGCGTACGGAATGGACGTCTTTTCCTGGCTGTCCGGCGCGACCGCGCGCCCACCCATCTCGTATCTTGCGTCCGTTCCCCTCTCCTTTCCTCTAATTGGGCTCACGCAACTCGCCCAATACCTCGTAGTCTGTCGGGCGACGAACATGTCACCCCAGGCTCTGCGAACGCGGTTACACGGTGCAACCGGTCACTCGCAGGGTCTTGTGTCGGCTGTCGTAATATCAGCATCTTCCACCTTGGAGTCGTTCTTTGAGAATTCGCGAAAGGCAATGAAGTGGCTGTTTTTCTGTGGATATCGTGGACAGCAGGCGTTCCCTGTGCTGGCTTTGGAGCCTAGTATTGTGCAGGACGCCATCGAAGGCGGGGAGGGTGTACCGAGTCCCATGTTGTCAGTGACGGGTCTACCACTGAAGGATTTGGAAACACACATCAAGAAGACGAATCAACACCTGCCAGCTAAATCGCAGCTGCAAGTATCCTTGTACAATGGACCGAAGGCGTTTGTTGTGACTGGCCCCGCCCGCGCTTTGTACGGGTTGGTGACAAGTTTGAGGAAAGTGCGCGCGCCGAGCGGTCTCGACCAGAGCAAAATCCCGTTCTCGCAACGCAAGCCGGTGTTCTCGGTTCGATTCCTAGTTATCGGCGTTCCATATCACAGCGAGTATCTTCAGGGGGCGACAGAGAAGATGTTTTCCGAAGATTTGAAGGGTCAGGAACTGTGGGCGAAGAACGATTTGTCAATCCCTGTGTACCATACTGAGAACGGTCAGTATCTGTCTAGTTCTTGTGTAGTCACATTGACGAATAAACTTACCTTCAGGCTCTGATCTTCGGACGCTCACGACGTCATTAACGCGGGCGCTCTGCGATCAGATTTTCACTCTTCCCATCCACTGGGCGACAGCAACAAACTTTCCCGATACCGCTACGCACGCGATCGACTTTGGTCCCGGCGCTCTGAGCGGAATTGGTCCTCTCACGGCGCGTAACCTGGAGGGTCGGGGTGTCCGTGTCATCGTTGCGGGTGATAAGACGAAGGGCGTTGTTGAGCTATTCGACGCGCAGACAGTTCGTCGCGAATCATGGTGGAGCAAGGAGTTCATGCCGGGCCTGGTGAAGACGAGGTATGCGAATATCAGGTGCAGATATGGAATATAAAGACTAACAATGATGGGTGTATAGCGACGGCACCATTCACATCGACACTCCGTTTTCGCGTCTACTCGGCAAGCCTCCCATTATGGTTGCCGGTATGACGCCCACTACAGTTCAGGCAGGTTTCGTCGCCGCCGTTCTCTCAGCTGGCTATCACGTCGAGCTCGCTGGAGGTGGTCACTATAACCCGAAAGCCCTGCGTGCGAAGGTCGCCGAAATTCAGAGCAAGATTCCAGCTGGGGTTGGTTTGACGTTGAACTCGTTGTACATCAACCCTCGTCAATTTAGCTTCCAATTCCCTCTATGGCAGGAAATGCGCAGGGAGGGACTCCCAATTGAAGGGTTCTGCGTTGCTGCTGGTATCCCTAGCACAGAGAAAGCTGCTGAGATCATCGAGGGTCTCAAGTCTGCAGGCATTCGTCACGTCTCATTCAAGCCTGGTTCTGTGGATGGAATTCGTCAGGTTGTCAACATTGCGGCTGCCAACCCTGACTTCCCTATTATTATGCAGTGGACGGGTGGTCGCGCTGGTGGTCATCACTCATGTGAAGATTTCCATCAACCAATCCTCTCGACGTATGGTGCTATTCGTCAGCACAGCAATATCTCTCTCGTTGCGGGATCTGGCTTCGGCGGTGCCGACGACGTGTGGCCTTATCTTACCGGCGACTGGTCCGTGGAGAAGTATGGAGTGCAACCTATGCCGTTTGATGGATTCCTCTTTGCGAGCCGCGTGATGGTTGCGAAGGAAGCGCACACTAGCTCATCGGTGAAGGACTTGATCGTTGCCGCTCGCGGGGTCGACGACGCACAATGGGAAGGCACGTATGCCAAGGAAACAGGTGGTATTTTGACCGTGCAGTCTGAGCTCGGGGAGCCTATTCACAAAGTCGCCACGCGTGCTGTCAAACTATGGAAGGAGTTCGACAATACCGTGTTCAAACTTCCCAAGGAGAAGCGTGCTGCATGGTTAGCTGAGCGTCGTGGAGAGGTCATTGCCAAACTGAACAAGGACTTCGCGAAGCCTTGGTTTGGTTGGAAGAAGGACGGCACTGTCGTTGAAGATATCGCGGATATGACCTATGAGGAGGTGGTCTTGCGTCTGATCAGGCTTATGTATGTCTCGCATCAGGAGCGCTGGGTGGATGTGTCACTCAGGAATCTCACTGGAGACTGGTTGAGGCGCGTGGAGGAGCGTTTTGCTGGCGTGAATGGGAGTGGTCCGAAGGCATCCATCTTACAGTCATATTCTTCCCTTGACAAACCTCATGACGTCGTCGAGTCTTTCTTCAAGACGTATCCGCTTGCTACTGAGCAACTGCTTGCTTCAGAAGATAAGGCGTTTTTCCTCGCTATTTCCCAGCGCCCTGGCCAGAAGCCTGTGCCTTTCATTCCGGTGCTTGATGCGACTTTTGAAGTCTGGTTCAAGAAGGTAAGGGACGAGATGCATCTTGTATTTGTTGTTGCTCATAGTTGCATAGGACTCCCTCTGGGCTGCGGAAGACATCGAGGCGGTCTTCGATCAAGATCCTCAGCGTGTGTGTATTTTACAGGGTCCTGTCGCAGTCAAGCACTCTACTAAGAAGGATGAGCCGGTGAAAGAAATGCTCGACAATATCACTGCACTGTTGGTGAAGAAGCTCGCGGAGCGCCTTTATGGAGGCGATCTAAGCAGTGTTCCGACTATTGATTACATCAGCCCCCGCCCAGCTCACATTCCTAGGGTTGAAGCTCTCGGTGTGAAGTCCAGCGTCAAGGACGGTGATGTAATGTACAAGGTTGGCACAACACTTCCGGATACGTCGTCGTGGTTGGAGGCGCTCGCCGGTCCGGAGCAGAGTTGGCTCAAGGCTCTGCTCACCTCTACGACTGTCGTGCAAGGTACCTCCTACGTTGATAACCCCATTCGTCGCTTGTTCGCCCCCCGCCAGGGCCAGAAGGTTGTCATCGAGAATGATGAGGGCGCGCCGGTCAGCGTTTCGATTTATGGAGCCGCGCGTTCTGTCGGAGAGCACAAGCCGAATTTCAAGGCTGTCGAAGTTGAGTACGACGAGCAGACTCACTTGATTGATGTCACCTTGTTTGAAGATCGTCGTGATGTTTCCGTGCCCCTTCGTCTCAAATTTATCTACAAACCATCGACAGGTTTTGCCCCCATTCATGAGATTGCCGACGACCGCAACAAGCGTATCAAGGACTTCTATTGGCGTCTCTGGTTCGGCGATAACGAGGTGCTACCTGAAATAAACGTGCGGGAGGTTTTCGTGGGACCCGAGGTTACAATCAAGGCCGAGGAGGTTGAGACTTTCTGCGCAGTTGTCGGGAATGACGGGGAGGATTTCAAGAGTACGCGGACCGACGCCGTTCAAGCACCTATGGATTTCGCCATCGTGACGGGCTGGCAGGTATGATGTTGCAAGATTTTGTCTGACAACGCTAACAGTGCCTTTTCTCCGAAAGGCTATTATGAAAGCTATCTTCCCCGCCGCGATTGATGGGGACCTGTTGAAACTTGTTCATCTTTCGAATGGATTCCGGGCTTTGCCTGACGCCAAGCCGCTGCAGGCCGGCGACGTTTGTAGAGCGGAAGCGAAGATAATCTCAGTTGTTAACAGCGATGCAGGTAAGGTCGTCAAGGTCAAGGGCATGGTCAGACGAGATGGTCAGCCTATCATTGAAGTCACATCTGCTTTCCTGTACCGGGGGCGATTCGCCGACTTCGACAACACGTTCGAGCTGATTGAGGAGCCCGACTATCTCGTTGATCTGAACAGCGAAGCCGCTGTTGGTGTCTTGCAGTCGAAGGAGTGGTTCGAGTGGGACGATGAGACCAAACCTCTTCAGGCAGGTACGGGATTGATTTTCCGCATCAAGTCCGAGGTCACATACCGCAACAAGACATGCTTCAAGTCGGTCAGCGTGTCTGGGGATGTCTTTGTTCGTGATCAGTTGAAGCGCTTGGTAAAGGTCGGGTCGGTCGATTTCCTTCAGGACGATAGCCGCGGCAATCCTGTTCTTGCTTACATCCAACGTCACGGCCAACCGCAGGGTTTGTTGAGTCCGTTGGCAAATGATGGCTACACCATGTCTCCCACAGCTCCTACCACGTTCAGCTCTCCTGCCACGAATGAACCGTATTCCATCACTTCGGGCGATTTCAACCCCATCCACGTCAACCCATACTTCTCGGATTATGCTTCACTCCCTGGTACCATTACTCATGGCATGTGGTCTAGCGCGGCGACCCGCCGGTATGTTGAGACAGTCGTTGCTCAGGGCCGACCAAACCGCGTTGTGGCGTAAGTTAAGCTCTTGCCTACCGATGTCTATTGATGCTGATATAGTTTTCCAGATACGACGTCTCGTTTGTTGGTATGGTTCTGCCCCAGGATGAACTTACTGTGAAGATTAGGCACGCTGGCATGCGAGATGGCAACATCGTCGTCAAGGTTGAGACGTCAAACTCTCGAGGAGAGAAAGTTTTGGAAGGCACGGCCGAGGTTGCGCAGCCCACTACCGTTTACGTCTTCACGGGTCAGGGTTCTCAAGAGCCTGGCATGGGAATGGACTTGTACAATAACTCTCAGGCGGCTCGCTCTGTGTGGGATGTGGCCGACGCCCACCTTACTGCAGTTTATGGATTTTCAATCGTTGAGATCGTCAAGGATAATCCCAAGGAGAAGACGATCCACTTTGGTGGCATCAAGGGTCAAGCCATTCGTCAACGGTACATGGACATGACGTACGACACCATGGATAAGGACGGAAACGTCAAGACGCTCCCTCTCTTCGGAGACATCAATGTCCGTACGCAGAGGTACACGTTCAGCCACCCGACGGGATTGCTCTTTGCAACCCAGTTTGCGCAAATCGCTCTCGTGGTGACCGAGCGCGCTGCCTTTGAGGACATGCGCTCTAAGGGACTCGTTCAGCAAGGTGCCGCATTCGCGGGCCATTCGCTTGGCGAATACTCTGCCCTTGCTTCCATCGCCGACGTCGTACCCATTGCATCGCTCGTGGATATTGTTTTCTATCGTGGTATCACCATGCAACGCGCGGTCGAGCGCGATTCTCAGAATAGGTCGAACTACGCTATGTGTGCTGTGAACCCTAGCCGTGTGTCAAAGACGTTCAACGATGCCGCCCTTCGTGAGGTTGTTGACGACATTGCGCAGCGGACGGGATGTCTCCTTGAAATTGTTAACTTCAACGTCGAGGTACGAAAGCTGTCTTTGGGATTCAGCATTTATCCTATCTGATTAATTTGCGCAGGGCCAACAATATGTCTGTGCGGGTGAACTCGTCGCGTTACAAACAATGACGAACGTTCTGAACTATTTGAAGATGGAGAAGATTGATATTGCAAAGGTAACTGGGCTGTTTTCCATCCCTATTGCGGATTTTTAATATTTTTCATAGTTGACGGAGAAGTTTACGATCGACCAAGTCAAGGAAATGCTCCGTGAAATCATTGACTCATGCTTCACTCGAGCGAAAGAACAGCAGGAAGCTGAGGGTCATATCAAATTGGAGCGAGGCTTCGCCACTATCCCTCTACCCGGGATCGACGTCCCATTCCATTCTCGCTACCTTTGGGCAGGAGTAATGCCTTTCCGCACTTGTATGTATAGTATAGATCTTTCTGCGTATGTCTAACTTCGTTTTTATAGATCTTTCGAAGAAGATCAATGCTGCGCATCTCAACCCGGATACACTCGTGGGCAAATATGTGCCGAATCTGATAGCAAAGCCTTTCGAAGTATCAAAGGATTACGTGCAGTTGATCTACGATCGCACCTTATCCGTCAAGCTGGACAAAGTGTTACGAAAATGGGACCAAGAGAACTGGGAAGCTCCCGAGCAGCGCCAGAAGCTGGCGTATATTACGCTAGTTGAACTTCTCGCGTATCAATTTGCGTCACCGGTTCGTTGGATAGAGACGCAAGATATCCTCTTCACGCATTATAACTTCGAACGGATCATTGAGATCGGTCCTTCGCCAACGCTCACTGGAATGGCTTCGAGAACCCTGAAGGCCAAGTATGAGGTCCAGGACGACTCTGTAAGTCGTGCCCGTGTTATCCTCTGCCATTCGAAAAACGTCAAGGAGGTGTACTATCAATTTGAAGACGAAGCCAATGCTCCTGAGACTGAGGTCGAACCTCCAGTTGCGGATGCTGCGCCGGCGCCAACGCAAGCCGTTGTTGCTCCTATCGCTGCTTCTGTAGCACCTGTTGCGGCAGCCGCTAGCATCGAAGATGTTCCATTAAAGGCAATTGAGGTCCTGAGCGTCATTGTCGCGCAAAAGCTGAAGAAGAAGGTCGACGAAATTCCTCTCTCGAAGTCTCTCAAGGATCTCTCTGGTGGGAAGTCCACTCTCCAGAACGAAATCTTGGGCGACTTGCAACTCGAATTTGCTTCTGCGCCAGAGAAAGGCGAAGAACTTCCTCTCGAGGAGCTTGGCTCTGCTTTGGGAGTTGGTTTTTCTGGTTCATTGGGAAAATACACCTCTGGTCTTGTAGGTCGTATGGTTGGCGGAAAAATGCCCGGTGGTTTCAATATGTCTGCTATCAAGAGTTACTTGTTGAAGTCTTGGGGAGTTGGTCCTTCTCGTGCCGACGGCGTGCTGTTGCTTGCAACTACTATAGAGCCAGCTAAGCGCCTAGGGTCGGAGGCTGAGGCGAAGACGTGGCTGGACTCGGTGGTCGCTGCTTACGCGCAGCGTTCCGGAATCGCGCTGTCTTCAGCTGCAACGGGCGGCGCAAGTGGAGGAGGCGCTGGGGGAGCCACGATCAATAGCGAAGAGTTCCTCAAGTTCCAAGCTGAGCAAGAGTGGTTCGTCTCACAGCAAGTTGAGCTGTACATGCGGTATCTCAAGCGCGATTCTCGAGCGGGGGAGCAGAAATTCGAAGTAGCAAAAGCCAGCTCTGCATCGCTCCAAGCGCGTCTGGATGCCATCAGCAAGGAGCACGGCGATACGTATATTGACGGTATTCAGCCCGTCTTCGATGCACTGAAAGCACGTCATTTCGACTCTTCTTGGAACTGGGTTCGTCAAGATGCACTTTTGATGTTCTACGACATCATCTTTGGCCGGCTCACCACTGTAGACCGGGAAATCACCGCTCGCTGCATTGCGATTATGAACCGTGCCGATCCGGAATTGGTGACGTATATGCAGTACTACATTGACAAATGTGACCCTAGTCGTGGAGAGACGTACAGACTGGCCAAACAATTCGGACAGCAACTCATTGACAACTGTCGCGAAGTCGTCGGGCATCCGCCCCTTTATAAAGATGGTAATATTTTAGTGTTTTCGACAAGTTTTGATGCTCATACTATTTACAGTCACGTTCCCGACCGCTCCGCACACGGAGGTCACGTCTAAAGGCGACATAGTTTATTCGGAAGTTGTTCGGGAAAACGTGCGCAAGTTGGAGGCTTACGTCGAGGAGATGGCAAGTGGTGATACAATTTCGGCTCCCACAAATATTCAGAAGATTCAAGATGATGTTTTGAAGCTGTGGAACGTGGTGAAATCGCAGCCTGAAATCAGTGAGGAGCAGAAGAACCGGATTAAGGCGCTGTATGAGGGCGTCGTGCGTTCACTTCGCAAGCGGCCAGAGTCCCGAGCGCGTCCAGGAGCGCCGCGTACTCGCCGATCATCTTCACAATTCCTTCGTCCTCAGGTGTCGGGGATTGCTGCCGTGACCGCTGACAAGGTTCCACTTCTGCACTTGAAGCGGAAGGTTGGAACGACCTGGGAGTATAGCAGCAATCTAACAGGTGTTTATCTCGACATCCTACACGAAATTGCAACCTCGGGAACAACATTTAAGGACAAGAATGCACTTCTTACTGGTGTTGGCAAAGGCTCGATAGGCGTGGAGGTTCTCAAGGGTCTTCTATCTGGTGGTGCCCATGTCGTTATCACGACGTCTCGATACAACCGATCAACTGTGGAATATTACCAAGGCGTTTTCCAGCGCTTCGGTAGCAAAGGATCGGCTCTGACGGTAGTTCCATTCAATCAGGGTTCGAAGCAAGACGTCGAGGCAATTGTCGATTACATCTACTCGTCACTCGGTTTGGATCTGGATTATATCCTCCCTTTCGCAGCCGTCCCCGAAAATGGTCGCGAGATAGATGGGCTGGACGACAAGTCTGAATTGGCACACCGTATCATGCTTGTCAACCTCCTCCGCTTACTAGGCGCTGTAAAGGTCAAGAAAGCGTCGCGTCGCATTCTGACACGGCCTACGCAGGTTGTCCTTCCTTTATCACCTAACCACGGTCTCTTTGGAAACGACGGGCTGTATTCGGAGTCCAAGGTGGGCTTGGAGACGCTCTTCAATCGTTGGAATTCTGAAAGTTGGGGCGAATATCTTTGCCTTGCTGGCGCTGTCATTGGGTACGCTCGTTTCTACGTCTTGTCAGACACGAACTGATAACATTTGCTTATTAGATGGACACGTGGGACGGGCCTTATGGATGCTACCAACATGGTTGCACATGAAGTCGAGAGTCACGGCGTCAGGACGTTCTCAGCGAAAGAGATGGCCTTCAATTTATTGGGCCTCATGCATCCGCTTCTGTTCAGCATCACGCAAGTTGAACCGATATGGGCTGATCTAAATGGTGGCATGGATCGACTTCCAGACCTCGCAGAAATTACCACTCGCATCCGACTGAACTTGAACAAAAAGAGTGAATTGCGCCGCGCCATAGCTAGGGATAACGCCGCCGATTTCAAGATTATCAATGGCGGTGAGGCCGAACGTGTTCTCCAGACTGTCAACGTGACACCTCGTGCCAACTTCAAGTTCGAATTCCCGCATTTGGAAGCATCCGAATCGTTGTCCGATGTCTCCCAGCTCCGAGGATTGCTGGACCTTGATCAGGTGGTCGTCGTGACCGGTTTCGGCGAGGTGGGCCCTTGGGGTAGCTCTCGTACTCGATGGGAAATGGAAGCACGTGGCGAGTTCACTATCGAGGGCTGCATCGAAATGGCCTGGATGATGGGACATATCAAGCACTTCGATGGTCGCCTGAAAGATGGCTCGCTTTATGTTGGTTGGGTCGACGCTAAGACAAGTGAGCCCGTGGATGACAAGGATGTCAAGAGTCGATACGAGAAGGAGATCCTCTCCCACGCGGGTATTCGTCTAATTGGTGAGTTGTTGCGCATATATGCTCTCGTATGTTCTTAACGGTGTTTCAGAGCCGGAATTATTCCGCGGATATGATCCCAAGAAGAAGACGTTCAATCAGGAGATTGAATTGTCGCACGATCTTGAGCCTTTCGAGGCGAGTCAAATCGAGGCAGACAAGTTCAAATATGAACACGGGGACAGCTGTGATATTTGGGCCGTCGAAGGCGGCGAGTGGTTCGTCAAGCTGAAGAAGGGTGCACGTATCTTGGTGCCGAAGGCGTTCAAGTTCAATCGCCTGGTTGCGGGGCAAGTCCCTACTGGATGGCATGCCGGTCGTTACGGTGTTCCAGCAGATATCATTTCACAGACCGATCGTACAACCTTGTGGACATTGGTCGCTGCGGCGGATGCCTTAAACATGTCAGGGATTACTGATCCTTACGAATTGTACCAGCATATGCATCCTTCAGAAGTCGGCACTAGCATTGGGAGTGGTATGGGTGGTATGGAGAGTCTCTCGAAGATGTTCAAAGATCGCAGGGACGAAAAAGATGTGCAGAACGACATCTTACAGGAGACGTAAGTGGGAAACATCGATATGAACTGGAATGATTCTGATCGATATCGTCGTAGGTTCATCAATACAACAGCGGGTTGGGTGAATTTGTTGCTACTTTCATCTTGCGGACCAGTCAAAATTCCTGTGGGCGCATGGTGAGTGGGAGTGTATACGCCTGCTCTGTCTGTCCTGACATATCTTCAGTGCCACTGCTTTGCAATCGGTCGAGATCGCTTGTGACACGCTTCTATCCGGAAAAGCGAAGGTAATGCTCGCGGGAGGCTTCGACGATTTCAGCGAGGAAGGCTCGTATGAATTCGCAAACATGAAGGCTACGAGTAACTCTGAGACTGAATTCGCCATGGGTCGTGAGCCAACGGAGATGTCTCGTCCCGCAACTACTACCCGTGGAGGAGTACGTACCCCGTTATGCTTTAAGGCGTAACTGGGTTCACTTACGTGTTCAACCTAGTTCATGGAAGCGCAAGGTACTGGTGTCCACGTCTTAATGAGTGCGCGGACGGCCCTTGAACTTGGATGCCCCATTCGAGGCGTTGTCGCATTCACCTCTACATCGACGTGAGTGCTCAATTATTAATATTCAATAAAATGCATTCTGACATCTTGGTTCAGCGACAAGGCAGGGCGATCGATTCCTGCTCCGGGACAAGGTGCTTTGACGATTGCAAGAGAAGTGCCATCCAAACACCCATTGCCTATCCTCGACGTTGCGTATCGTTCGCGCCAGCTGGCATTCCGTCGCAATCAGATCTCTCAATGGCTGGCCAATGAACGCCAACTATTGCAAGAAGAGCTCGAATTCCGAAAGAGCAAAGCTGAAGACACCGACGAGAGTTATGTATCTAGCCGCATAGCCGATATCGAAAAGGAGGCAGTGCAGCAGGAAAGGGATGCCTTGGCCACATATGGAATGTTACGCGATGTAGACCCAAGAATTGCTCCTCTTCGCCGCGCATTGGCAGTATGGGGTTTGACAGCGGATGACATCGGCGTGCTTTCCCTTCATGGAACGGGCACAGGCGCGAACGTAAGTGCTAAAACTAGTTTCCTTTGCTGAAGCTCACTTTCTTGATAGGAGGCAAACGAGACACACGTTTGGAATGACGTTTTCGGCAATATTTCAAGAACGACTGGGAATGCTGTTCCTGTTATGGCCCAGAAGAGTCTGTGCGGTCACTCAAAAGGTGGATCTGCTGCGTGGCAACTTGCCGGCCTTCTTCAAAGTGTTCACAGCGGTATTGTTCCCGGTAACCACAATGCTGAGTATGTTGCGTTATTTTGATGTGTATCTCAGCTGACAATTACCTTTGTTTAGTAACGTTGACTCTCACTTCCGAGATTATACGTACTTGATGTTTCCTTCGAAGTCTATTCATACCGATGGTATACGCGCGGGTATCATGGTGAGTCTTTATATGGCCACAAAATGCTAAAATGAGACTCAACAATGATTAGTCCTCCTTCGGCTTCGGGCAAGTTGGCGGTACATGCCTTATCGTCAATCCACGCTACCTGCTCGGTGCTCTTGAGCCTTCTGTATACAAAACTTACAAGGTCAAGAACCATCTACGGGCGCGGTTGGCATACAAGGCAATGAGCGAAATGATGATTACCCAGTCCCTTGTCAAAGTGAAAGAGGGCCCGCCATATACAAAAGATATCGAGGCGTCCGTGTTACTTAATCCCCTAGCCCGCGCATCATTCGATCCGAAGACGGGTAGCTATGCATATACGTCCAAACTCTCCACCCAATACCCCGTCGACAGTGCACATATTCAGGCGGTCTCAGGTATCCTCGGGAAGGATTCGATAGCAGGTGTTGGAGTGGACCAGGGTAAGCTGGAATCCCATCTGAAGAAACCGCTAGCGCTGACGGCCTGTCGTGCAGAGCTCATCTCGTCTGTCCCGTCCTGGAACGAGACGTTTGTTTCGCGCAACTTTACAAATGCAGAGATCGCGTATTGCCAGTCGCAGCCATCTCCTGCAGCCTCTTTTGCGGCGCGTTGGGTGGGTAAGGAGGCGGTGTTCAAGTCGCTTGGCGTCTCGTCGAAAGGTGCCGCTGCCCCTATGAAGGATATCGAGATTCTTCCCGATGCTGCTGGAGTGCCCATGGTAACTCTTCATGGTGAGGCGCAATCCGCCGCTGAAAGCAAGGGTGTTTCGAAGGTCCACCTGTCGCTTAGCCACTCGGAGGTATGTAGCATTCTCTCTGAAGCTCTTCTAAACTAAATTTATCTTTTGCAGACAATCGCTATTGCATTCGCGCAAGCCACAACGTCATGATTGTTATGTTTTTGTCATTCGCTGTTTCCGTAGTAGATCCCTGTTGTCATAGATGCATGTCGTATAATGTCTCATGTTCTTACGGTCGTACTAGTGTTTTATGTAATTTGATGATTTTCTTTCTCTCACGTTCCAATTGTCGGATCGCGAATAGGGCCTTCCTCACTGAGCTAGCCAAGGGCTGTTTGCATGGGAGACAAAGATGCATGACCAGGTCGTGCACCGACAGTAAGCCAAATTAACCGTTAGACCAGTACAAGTTCACGGTGCACCGTATCAGAGTGCGAAGTAACTCCTAACAAGTTCATCATCATAATTATTGAACCTCAAAGAGTAACAATCACCAGCGGTGATTGGCAACCTCCAGGACCGTTCATATGTCTTGTCAACAATTCCACCACCGAACTGTCCATCGCGGCCCCATCTGTCACCGAGAACAAGGGTCAGATACCCTCGGTCTTGTGCCTGGAATTTGGGCAGGCGTTGCAGCAGTCGTTTGACCACATCCTCAAGACTGTTGAACATTTCGCCCCCGTTGCGGAAACCTATACTGAATGCATCCGGATTGAGTATACTTATTGTGACTCTTGCGTCCGGCCTGTTGCGGATAAATGCCTCCAGCGCCCGGTCGATATGCGTCCACCCCCCGCAATGCTCTGGGTCAGGCACTGCGGGTGCGAGCACCAGATGGGCCCAGACGCTTATTCGCAGACGACAGAGCGCGCGGTGCGCATCAACTGGTATGCCGCGGATGGTGTCGGCGGCGCCTCGCAAGAAACCGAGCAGGTGCGTGTACGTGCATCCGGGTTCGACGAAGGCAAAATGCAGGGATTCCAGTCGAGGGTTGTGTGCGATGCTCAGGCTCTCGGTCGATGCGGCGACGGTAGGGACTGACTCGGACATGTCGAAGGGTCGGGTGTGCGAGCCGTAGGAGAGGACGAGGTGTCGCAAGGTTTCGCCCGCCCGAAGGAGGAACATTTGGAGCTCCCGTGGTATGCGTTCCTCACCTGGAGACAGGCCCACAAACAGCTGGCTGATTTGGAGGGTGAACGGGCCTGTAAGGATCCAAGCGCCAACCTTGCGGTCATACAGAGTCACTTTCAGAGCTTCAATCCTGGCTCCTTCCGCGGGCATAGAGGAGCCTGTCGCCGACTTGGGGGAGATTGCTCCATTCGGCGTACGATAATCAAAATGGATGCTGGGCTGCCAGCTAACGTCAAGGAGGTGCAGTTCGTTCATTCTGAGGGCAGAAGATAAGAAGCGGGGCAAGTCGACTCTTGTCCAGCCAGTGCAAGATTCCAGGCGCAGTATCCGGACGATCGAAAGCAGCCCAGGTAACAGTTTGACGGCTTCGTTCGACAGCGCGTCGATTGATAGTTTCACTAGCTCGAGATCCTCCACCTTGGGAAGGTTTCGAACCAGCAAAGGCCATTCTCGGTCGACGCGGGTGGGAGTAGACTTGGGCCACCAATCCAATTTTGTTCTGCTTACGACCACAATGCGTCGAACGAACGACGCAACACTCGGAGACGCATCGAGGAGTCGGCTGAAGCGCATGAATTCAACCGGACCCCCAACCTTGACACAACAGAAAGTGTGGAAACGCGCTCTCGGAAGCCAGGCGCGACATGTGAGGGCGCAGGCAGCGAGAGCACTGCGATCATCCCAGAGGTAATCGATGATCTGGTCACAGAGCTCTGGGGCAAAGCCACGGTGGGGTGCATCCATTTGTGATATCTCTGATACCAACATCTCAGTACGGAACCTGTATGGTTGCTGTCAAGGCGGCGGCATACCTAAACTTGTACACTCACGTATCCACGATGAAGCTGAAAGCTGGGGGAGGTAGCTATTAACAAGCGTCGTGTCGACATCTCTAACCCCATTCCCAGACCAGGCAGCTGACCGTCAACACCAAAACGAGAAGCTCGGCTTCCTTCTATCAATCTGCCAGAAATGTGACGGAGAGGAAGCGAATTCGATTTTTGAAGATTAGCATCCGAGTTCCTCATTCAATTGTCAGACCAACTGCCCAAACCTAGATATATATATACTTCGGATGCACAGAGGTGACTCGGAAGTTCCCTGGCCATGTGTCACAAGAAAGGCAAGGCTGGACACACTGCGTGAACGAGATAGCGGGTAGGACAGCTGAGATCACGGGCAGTGGACGTATCGAATACAGCTAGACGTAATTGGCCGCACATGGTCTGTTCAGGTCGAGATGAGCCATGAACAATCATAGTACTCACCAGAACTTTACGTCTTCACTATTCCATTTCAGATCCTTTCTTAAACGAGACCCATCTATGAGATCTCTTCAGGATCATGCAGGTCTCTGCTGTCTCCTCGAGTCATTTCAATATCACTGCTTGTGCTCAACTGGATAGAAGGCGCCACAGCGGCAAACTCCAGTGTCCGCTGTTCCGACTGTTCCTGCTTGGCATCCTGGACGTGGACGAAGGACGGTACGCAAGACCCGAAAAAGACATCGGCAGAGCATGCTTCACGCAAGTGAAGCAAAAGACGAGTGGTGAGTATTGCAGATATCCTGACACATGGCACAGTTAGGATCGAAGACATTCAGCTCGTAAGTGTTGCGACCCACGGAAGGACAAAGATTGGTACACTTCCGACCTCCTAATGGCTGACATGAGTTCAGCAAGCATAAGAGTTCATTGTGCCTACCCAGCCGTTTTGCCAATACACGACAATGTTGATGACGTTCAGGACGAGGAAGACACTATAATTTCCGCCGTCAATTTCATCCGAACTACCATTTCGAGGTGTTTCCACGTACATGAAGTATATAGTGCCTGGGCGCCATACAACCATGATAATGAGTACGAAGTGTCCATTCTTCGGAAAACTCACGTACCATCTCTCAAAATGAGATACGAGATGATGCTTCTGCTCAACAGCATCTTCGAGTTGGCTTTATCGGCATGGTACAGATAATACCATGCCGACGCGACGACGAGGGCGTCGCTTCCGATGGCGCATATTCGAGTTGCGGTGGCAACTACGAGTAAGGGAAATCAGGAACACTGAGGATCGCACGCACAACCAAACGGCGTACATCTGTAAAATGATTATGGAGCATGAGAATTTCGAAGAAGAGGGGATTATATGCGCCAATGCGCGCACCTATTAGCCATCGCTTCCGACATCGTCACGGACATTTGGCAGGCAGGAACCCATAGCACATAACTGCTGCCAATCGACGACACTGTGTCTTGAAACTGTCAGAAATGGCTCTGAGTGTCAACAGGTAGGTCAGTACAGCATGTCACGAACCAGGTTGGTGGCTACAGGTACCAAGGCAAGGACAAGGGTTAATCCAGAGATCCACCAATTCTTCCCAGTCAGAGCAAACACTCGAAGTGTGGCAACAGCTGCAGTAGGAGCAAGTGATTAAGCCGTGCATGAATTTTACGATTTTGAACGCACCAGCAGTGACACCGAATCCAACGATGTCTATGCCCAATACAAGGATCATAGTACCTACACAGCTAGAAAAACATAATAAGTTTCACACTTATAACAAGATCAAGATGGTACTTCTACAATCATGCAATCAGACGCGAGAATGACTAGTAGGAAGCAAAATTCAAACCCACTTGACGAGTGTCCACGAGATAAACACTCAGAGCGTTGGTGATGGCCATTGCAACGAAGTTCAGCTCATTCAACAGTAGAAGAATCACCGATGTGCGTCGGCTCGAAAACATTTGCTCCAAAACTCTGCCCGAGGTAAGACATTTCTCGTAGACAATGGCAGCTGAGGGTACGATAGGTAGTCGTCCATTGCAGGAAATCGAGCTAAACTTACCGAATATTACTGCCGACAGATAACTGCTGACGCGACTTGGAAGTGAACGAATGGGGTCAATTTTCTGTATTGACACAAAATGACTCGTAACCTACATGGAAGTTAAGATGTCTGCGATTTCGCCTATATTGAGCGCGTTAGACATAGCGAGATTGGTTCAGAGCCCACTGGCGTTGCCACGAAAGTTGGATGAAGGATGAGGGACCAGCGAGACATTGGGACTCACGGCCATAAGTATACGAGCGAAAAGGAGAAGCACATAGCCGCCGCGCATGACAGATGGCTGAAATGGAGAATACGTCGATTTAACTGCGCGGAGGATTACCAGTGGGCGGATTCGTTTTAGAATGCTGCCTCCTTTCGGCGGTTCGGTGGACAAACTAGGGACGTGCGACCGGAGGGAGTCAAGAGCGGGATCGGCGCTGGACCAAAGCAAGTGTGTGTGTGGCAGACAATACGTTTGAAGGATAAAACTCGGCACACTGATGCATAAATATGCAAGTAAAATGATCCAGTTCCATCCGCAACGGTCAAAACGACACAAGTCCAATGAGAAGGGGCGGAAGACCACACGGGCGCTCTCAGTCTGGAGCACACTATGCCGACTCGGGCTCAGTTCTCGCCCATCTGCCCGCAGCAATGACACGCACCAGTCACTGCACCACACGGTGACATAGGACTCTCTTCAGTGCACCACACTGGATAGCCTCCAACGCGGAGGAAATATCTAGCAGGAGAAAAGATAGAATCAGCTGTCGCACCCCGTCAACTGGCAAGGTTGCAGGCAACGAGGCCAGACTACGCATGGCCATATGCAAAGGCGTGTAGCAACGAGTCGTACCTTCAAAGTCCTGCCCGCTTATGGACAGAGAGAAAACTGAAAATAGGGCACCAAGCCCGCTTATGGACAGAGAGCGAATTCAAACAGGCGCACCAGCACAGCACCGCGTAACGTCGTACTGCGAACGGATTAAAGCAGCTCTGCTAGGCTATGGGTGTCACAGTGAAAGGGCAGCGTTGGGACATCGTGTTGCGGGCATTCACGAACGGAAACACCCGTCGAGCATGTTTGGGAGGATATCATGATGAGTCAAACAGGAAGACATACGCGTCACTGAGAGCCCACCCAGGAGAAGGCGAGGACATACCTCAGTTGCTACAATTCTCTGCTGGCCCGGGGCGGAGTGACTTGCTTCAAGCCACTGCTTGTGGCACGCGCACTAAGTACTTACAGAACGCAGGATCGAGACCGTGGCAGCATCGACGCAAGGCGTCCTCATTTGGATCATGCCGTCCAAACCACCGGAAAGCCAAGAGGCCACCGCCAACCGCGACAGACTCCCAAGGCATAATAGAGTCGTGTACTATATTAACATGTACCCAACCAAATAGGGTTAAAGTACACGGAAGACAAAAAAATGGGAGTCGTGAATATCGTCCAAAAGTGTAATAATGTACCGAGAAATACATGGGGTGATGGCGTGAATGCGAAAGATCAACGTTCAAGAGTCTGTTCATGCGGGTCCGTGGATGCAAAGACGGGCTGGGTAAATGCTTGGGTAGGGATGGATTGGGCGCTGGGGGGGTGGGGGGGTATGTCTATCCTCAAGAGATGGTACACTTGGGGAAAGTAATGGGCTTCAGGGTCCGGCTGGCAAACGAGCTCAGGAGCTGCGAGAGAAGTCGATACGGAATACACTTACTTGAAGTTAAAGATACCCCAGAATCCCTGCACAGCGACGAGACCATATCAGCATACGTTTGCGCCCATGGAGCACCATCCAACTTACCTCGACCCCGCCAAATTCGCGCTCCTGCCAGAGTTCGTCTGCGAACTACACAAGCAATCAGAATCTCCCGGGCGCTCGACGCTAGCCGCAACGGCGTACCTCGAAATAGAAATACATGGTCCCGTTGGTATTGGACTCGCATACAAAGTCCTCGATATAAGTCTAGGCGGACGCGTGAACACATATTGAGCACGACGAACGAGCACGACGAACTTGTAGGTTGGCTGGAGAGGCAATAGACGGCCCGTCACTCATGCTTGCCGCATCTGTGGCATTCTAGTGCGCGTCACCCCCGAGATGAGCAAGACGCAGCGCACAATCAACCGGACACGAACCGTAGGCCATCCGGTCTCGCCCACCCAGAACTGCGGCTTGTTCGCGAGGCTTTTAGCCGGATCGACATTGATGGTCTCGAAGAAGTTCCATGTCCACCCGGCCGCCTCGTCGATGGACTGGTTCGCGAACCACGGGTGGATGTTCG